GTAACAAGGATTGCAATCAACAGCATGAAATAAAAGCATTGTTGAATGGAAAGTTGATTTGATCTGTAAACTCCCATCTAAGCACAAGGAGAGAAAGAACACAGGGGGAGGGGAGGCAGACAGCAAAAGAGTGGGGAACCACCTGGGGAGACAGAGACAGACTGGAGGACTTCAGGAAGAGTTGAAGTCCACAGCCTTGGGGTGGGCCCTGCGGGCAGCCAGCGTGGACAGCTTCTTCAGCCTTTTCTTCAGCTCCAGAGGGAACTTCTCATAACACTTCCTACAGACAGGCTTCATGTCGAACTCCACAAACTTGTTCCTGGGGAATCGACAGTCAGCGTGTCTTTGGGAGACCCCCCTCCCCACTGCCCCCAAGACTCTAGCCCAAGGTTGTCTCTGGCCTTGGACAGGTGAGGTCTGGGGCAGGCTCCTCCTACCCTCCAGCTCGGAGACATCCCTCCCACGCCAGCAGGCCCATGGTGAGCTTCTTGGCCAGAGGTCATGACAACCTCCGGGAGAGCAGTGATCTGACGCCCATGCCTTGCACGGACGGTTCCCTCTGTTGAAATAGCCTTCCCTCCCCCATCTGGGTGCTGGAAGCCCTTCAGGAAGCTGCTCTTCCATGCCCCCAACCTCAACCCCTGTCACAAAGGCCAACCAGCAGAGCGAGGTGCGAATGCACACATTCTACTTCCCAGGCTTGGCCAAACGAATGAGGACAGCCTGCTTGGTGACGTAGAGGGTCAGAGGAGAACAGTCCAGGAGACAGGCTCAGACAGAACCAGGCGTGTGTGGATGGTGCGGGACCAGGCGGGGCTGCCTGCTGCTGTGCAGAACCAGCACCAACAGACTTGGGAGGCAGCGGAGGTTACTCTGTGCTCCCGAGGCCTGGCCACACAGGGTCCTCAGGGAAGATGTGACCCGGAAAGCAGGAAGGGCCCACGGAAACCCCATTCAGCCCCGAGGTCCTCCCTCCTCCCCCCAGGTATACTTGACTACTCCTGAGGAGCAGCCAAACAATCCGACTCACTTTAAGGTGAGCTTGCTGCTGCAGGTGGCGCAGGAGAAGCAGTTCACACACCAGGCCTTGTTGAGGGCCGACACCACTGCGAGGGGGAAGGGGCGAGTGTCCACAGACGCTTCTCACAGGCTCAGCTGGGCACGCTGAGGGCCAGCTGGGCCTGCAGCTGCAGGACCCATAGCCCAGGAGGAACAAGGAGGCGAGGGGAAGGGAGGGGGCCGAGGGACAGAAGGAGCCTTACCATCACCCTCGATCACGTGGCTGCAGTTGTAGCAGACATCCCCAAAGAGCTGTGGATTGAGGAGGGCATCGGTGTGGGAGGCCAGCTGGCCTCCCCTTAGCCCAGGGCTGGGGACATCCTAGTCCTTTCCCCCTCTGACCCTTCACCCCGTGCCCTCCCACTCCAGGATGGCTGCTCTCAGGCATCGCCCAGGCACCCTTCAGGCTGAGGTGAGGCCCCCGGGCCTATTAGAATCCCCCTCCCAGACAGATGACAAGCCTGAGTTACTGTTTCCCTCAATAGCCCCTTTGAAAGGGTTTGCGCAGGGCAGGCACCCCACCCCATCAGCCCACACCACAGCAGCCATCAGCTTGATTGAAAGAGCATGGTGAGATGTCTTTCCAACCGGCCAACCAGGAAAGTGAGGCTAAGAGAGGGGCCCATTCTTGAGACTTAAAGCTAGGAGCTGGGACCTGAGCACCTAGCTCTAGTCTCACACCCACAGTGGGCCCCAGGGTTGCTCCAGTGCACCCCCTCCCTGCAATGAGGAGCCCTCTTTTTGCCTCCATTTCCTTAGTGACCTGTTGTGAAGACAGGTCACCACTCTTCCCTCCAGCAAGGCTGCCTGGCTGCTCCGGGCAGGTGGGGGCTGTCATGGAGCAGATCCAGCTTCCCAGCCCACTCCCTTCTAGATTGGATTGCTCGGGTACTGGAAGCCTAGCAGGCCGATGAAGGGCCCCGCCCGCCCATACCTGGTTGTAATGTGTCTCACAGTAGGCCAGGCCCTTCTTCTCATAGTGCCGGTGTCCCAGGAATGGCTTCTCGCACTTGGCACAGACAAAGTGCTGGGGAGGAGAAGGGACGCGGGGCAGTGATGAGACAGGCTGGCACAGGGACCTCCGGGGCCTGAGTGGCAGAGTGCCCACCCACCCCATCCAGCTCAGCAGGAGGCTGCCAACTCTCGGCTGTCCAGCTGGAAACCACTTGGGCTCTGGAGCCAGCAGGGTCCCCTCCTCCAGCAGCTACTGTTGTGACTCTCTGGGCCTGGGTGGCCCCTGGGCAGCCTCAGTTTAAGGAGTCGGGCAGTGACGAGACGCCTAGTATAGACAGACCCCCTGGTGGGAGGCCCCCTTTCCTGCAGGCCTGCAGGGGTCTGCTCCTGTGGGCATCACCCATGAGCTCAGACCCGTCGAGCAGCTCCTGCCTGTGTAGCAGGGGTTTGGTCGTGCAGCTCGGTGGACCGGGTGTCAAGCCCTGAGTCAGGGTCTCACAGACCTGCTCAAACAGGCCAACCGAAGTATTTCTCAGGCAAGAGCAGGCCAGGTCAGAAGTGGGGTAGGGGTGGTGGCAAACAGGCTTCCAGAGTGCTTCCATGAGGAAAGCTGAGCCCACAGCCCTGGGCCCAGGGAGGCAAGTGACCCCGATGGACACAGGGGAGCAGCTTGAAGCAAGGGGCCAAGCTCCACAATAGTGGGAGTGCACACGGTCGCTTCTCCATTAATCACAGCCCCACAGAGCGGTGGCCCTGGGCCCGGCAGAGCAATCCCCGATTTTCTCACAGCTTCGGGATCCCCTAGAATTCATGCCAGGGGAGCGCAGCTGCCTAACCCTGGTCTGTGCTCGCACATCTCCTGCCCCTGTCGACAGGGCGAGGCCACCCGTGAGTAAGGCCCTAGGCTGAGGGGGTGGGAGGAGATGCCATGTAGTTTGCTTGGCCAGGCTCTGACCAGGACGGCCACCAGGACGCAGGGCATTGTCTCCATTCTGGCCCATGGCCAGTGGTCACTCACCTCCACATGCCACTGCTTGCCCAGCGCGTTGACCACGCGGCCCTCGATGGGCCGGTGGCAGGCCCCGCAGATGGGCACCCCCATCTTGTCGTGGCACGGCAAACAGTAGAGCTCACCCTTCAGCTCACGGGCCTCTGCTGTCAGCTCCTTCCTGAAAGACAACGGGGAGGCCCAGAGATGGCCCTGCTTCGTCTGACAGGAATTGCCCAGGCCAATCCCACTCGGGGGCACAGCCTACTGAGAGGACCCGTGCTGGCCGCACAGATGCTGGCTATGATTTCTGGTCTCTTTGGGAAGTGATGTCTACAGGAAGGCTCTGGAGACGGAGTTCCCGTGAAGCCATTGTAGAAGGGCAGCCTGCATCCTGTGTCATCTTCCCAGCCCTCCCCCGCATCTCCTCCACCTGGGTGTTGGGCGGGAGGAGAGGCCTTCAGTGTCTCTCTGCAGCGTCCCTTTCCTCTCCTCTAAATGCCCCACCTCACTTCACCCTGTCCTCCTTCTCTGCTTCATCTAAGCAATATGGAGGCTTAGCCTCCATGGGTCTCAAGCCAGGCTGCGTGCACGTCCCCTGGAACAGAGCCCTGGAAACAGACACGCCTTGGGTCTGCCCACCTCCACCTTGACCCTGTAGCCCTGCACCCTGTCCGGCAAGGCCCACTGCCCACTAGACTCATCCATGATCAGATGGAGGTTCCACCGCCCCTGGCCCGCAGGGATGAGCGTGCACACATACCCACAGTGGGTGCAGTTGAAGTGGTCTGCATGGTAGGCATCATTCCGGAACATGAGAGGCTGCTCGTCAATGACCAGGTAGCACCGCTGACAGACATACTTGCCCAGACGCTTGGCCTTCTCCTGGTTGTGGCAAGGCCGGCAGAGGTGCCTGTGGGAAGTGGTGGGCCAAGACGTCTGGGTGTTGGGGGCAGATTGCTCCCTCTTCCTCTCAGAACACCCAGGCCATCTTCCGGGAGAAGCGATAGCGTTAAGCCCCCACCAGAAACTTTATATAATGCCCGAGTGCTTCAGACGGGCTCACCCGGGGCACGCAATCAGGGAAAAGGCAGTGAGACACATGGATATATGGTTTAAAACTAACACCAGCCCAGGGAAATACCCTAAAATAGTCGTGGCTGCTGTCTTTGGCTCTTAGGCAGAAACTCCAAGTCCCACTGCCATCCTGACTCATAGCAACCCTAGGATGGGGTAGAATTGCTTCTCTAGGTTTGTAAGGCTGTAAATCTTTTATGGCAACAGACGGCCTCCTCTCTCTCCCAGAGAGGGGCTGGTGGAGTGACCAGCCCGACAACGCTTACCCCACTGCACCGCTAGGGGTCCTTCGATAGGCAAAGGTGTGCTTTTGCCCTTTCCGTGTTTGTAGAGAATGGACGTTTAATTGACATTTGCTGGACATCAGTTTTACTTTTCAGATGTCAGCCTAAATTCCACTGTCTGGCAGAGTGCCCATCAGGCGGCTGCTCTCCTGCAGGGTCTGCCCAGCCAAGGGGGCTGGAGCAACCACAGATTCTCCAGAGACAGACAGGGCTTTGTCCAAGCAGAGCCCCAGACCCAGGAACCGACATTACAGAGCTTTTTGTGTGAAGACCACAAAGTCATTTCTGAGGCTCCTGCCGGCATTGGACAACAGCTGGGGACTGACTGAAAGAAACCAACGGTTTCCCTTCTCAGACCTCGAAGGTGGTGGGGCTTTAGAGTCAGCTCTACGGAACCCCCAATTCTGACACCGCTTGCTCCTGCTCCCCACCCTAGAACACCACACTCCTCATGCATCCAGACCCCTCCCTCCAAGGCCTCCCAACCATCCCTGCTCCTCACTGTCCTCCGCAGCCTTTGGCCTCCAGGGCTACCCCTTTGCAATGAGGTCAAAGAGTCTAGCCCGGAGTCAAGACAGACTCAAGATCTTCCAGTCAGGTATGGGGGGGCAGGTGATAGAAACAGGGAAGCCAGTTCAGCACCTACGTCCTTGACCTCAGGATCTGCTCCCTCAAGCTGGACTCTACCACGTCCAACATCACCCTCTGTTTGCCGTCGATGTGTCTGGTCATCCCAATTCATCCACACAGGTGGGCTCAAGGCCAGGGGCCCAAGTGAGGTAGGCCGTAAGTAGTCCCTAAACTCCTGGTGGGCTCACAGTGGTGCCTCTACCAGCCTCCACATCACTCCCTGTGAAAACAGGGCCTGGCCCAGGCTCCTGGGCTGTCCCCGCTGCATTCGTAAGCATCATGTGCCGGTGGCTGCAGCTTGGTGGCAATGACAGAGGCTTTGCCTTCTCTTACCCATCCCCCCCACCCTCACCCCCACTGGCCCACAGCATAGCACGCCAGTGGCCTGCTTTGTCTCCACCACCGACAAGTTCGTTCCTCATACCTCTAACTCTTAGCATTCAAGTCGCATCCGGCACACACGAGCAATTGTCCCGTAGCTATAGAATGCAACCCCTCCCCCAAATGCCGTGGTAGTGCTCTGTGCCGTCCGTGATCCTGTGGGAGCAGAAGATCTGTAAGCCCAGAAATGCTCTGCTCCGGCAGCTGGGCTGAGCCAAGAGCCAGACAGAAAGGGGAACCACGCCCTGGAGCCTGTCCCCCACCACCTCGCAGGAGCCAGAGTCAAGAGACTCACCCCACTTGAACTCCACATCATCACGAGATCAAACGGCAACACTCACATCTCTTTACCAGGGAGAACGCTAGCGTGAAAGAGCCACAGAAAACGAAACCCAACAGCCAAGAGCTGTAAGGTTTCTAGTGATGCTTTCTTGAGTCCAAACCTTGCCTTTGCCACTTCCTAGGAGTTTGTCACTGGGCAAGTGACTTGAGTCCTTTTGGCCTCAGTTGCCTCATCTACAAAGTGGGGCAAAAAACCCCAAATGCACCGGATGTTGTGAAAAAAATAATAATTAAAGACTATAACTGGCAAGTACTTCCCAAATGGTAGCCCCATTTATTTTTAAATGTTTCCATTAAAAACAAAAAACATATACTTCAAAGTCTTAAAACTAGAAGTGGTGATTTGACTCCCTGCATAGCTGAACAGAACTACCTGGTGGCACAAATGGTTAAGCACCCGCTACCACCCCAAAGGCGGGTCGTTCAAATATACCCAGAGGAGCCTCAGCAGAGAGGCCTGGCTGGCTGCGCTTTGAAAAGCCATCGCTGCAAGCCGTGTGGAGCACAGTTAGATCTGGGAACCCAGGGCCCTGGGAGGGCGTCAATAGCAGCTGGTTCCAGTGGCCGGGCAAACCCATTTTGTGACCATTTTTGACCAAACCTGTCACTGAGTCAGTTCTGACTCATAGCGAGGCTAGAGGACAGAGGAGAACTGCAGACTGCCTCCCCTTTCTCTCACTGAGAGGCTGGAGGGTTTGAACCACCAACCTGGCGGTGAGCAGCCGACACATGGCCTGCAGTGCTGCCGGGGCTCCTTGGGAACAGCAGGGAGGGAAAGTGCTCACACAGTCTCAGTCACTGCCGCCACCGACACAGAAGCACGGCCTCGGGGGCCAGTGGTCAGAGGGCAGAAGCGGCTCGTGGTTCAGAGGAGGGACGAGAATAGCCGAGGGCCAGCCTGCAGACGGAGCCTGTCCCACAGGCATAGACAGTGCCCCATTATGAAGCTGCAGCTGTGCCTACTGCTAGAGATAAAGGCCGTGATTTATCACTCCCACCCGAATGGACCTAATTATACGGGACAGGACACAAGGGCCCCACAGCAAGTGCCCTGAAAAGAGTGCCCTCTCATTCAGCCAGCAAGCCTCGCCGGCTCCCACCACCGATTCACAAGGCCCGCTGCTGCACGCAGGGCAGACTTGGGAACGCCAGTCCATTCGGACAGCAGCTCACAGGAAATCGCCACCTTCTGAAATGTCCTCTTGTGTCTGTCAATGCCACTAAGTCCTTGACTGCTGTGCCCACTCCCCAGTCCAAGGACAGTCACAGCCTCTGTGATGCATGCTGGGGGCTGGGGACACCCAGGACACAGTGGGATATTCATGGGCCAGAGGCGCGACAGCCTCCCTTCAGCGCCTTAAATAGCCAGGCTTCTGCCTCACCCTCACCGCAAGGGCCCTCTACTCCATCACCCACCGGCTCCAGCTCCCTGCCCTCCTGTCCCTCCTACCTGGACCGTCTGAGAGAGGTAAGGGGTGGGGGGGCAGGCATGGAGCCCCGTGGTCAAAGACAGCCAAGCAAGGAGACCCTTTCTCGGGTGAGGGGGTCGCTTTCTCTCTGACTTATTGTCCGAGGCTCACCATAGCCCGAACTCAGCCCCACTGAGGCGGAGCTGGGGGCACCCATGCTCTTGACAGCATCAGAAGGTGCTACTCTGGCATCAGAAGGTACCAGACAAAGACACCTGTGGGGAGAAGTGGTCAGGCCAGGGAGGGCAACCTCTGCTGGTGTGACACAGAAGGCACCAGTCTCTGACAGGACACAGTGCTGTCACCACAGCCCTGTCACAGATCCCTTGGCCACAGCCTGCCAGACGGAGGCCAGAAACACTGCCACTTGCCTGTTCCTCTGACCTCCGCCTGGGTCACGCAACACTGCCTGGACCTTCTGGTAGGTGCTACTGGCAAGTCCTGTCCTCAACCACCAACGGAACAGAGCGTCTTGAGGCTGAGGTTCACACTTTTTAGGGGAGACGTAGTGAACAACCCACATTTTAAACATCAGTGCCAACACTCATGAATGCAGGGTGGGGTGGGAGGAGTAGAAAAATGGAAGGATGAGAGAAAACTCAGAACCCCAGAAACAAGCCAGGCAGAAGGGCTGGGAGCCCAAGAAGAACGTTGCTGCTACATGAAGGTTTGAGAGACCAGGGGCAAAAGGCCAGTCTTCACCCAGACCGAAGGCAAAAGGCAGTTCCAACCAGCGAGCCGGCCCATTTCCAGGGGCTGCAGTCCAAACTCCTATGGAGGAAGGGCAAGGCAGAGCCAGTGTCTTGGAAATAGACCTGTCGGTTCTCCCAAAGCCTTACTTTTAGAACAAGGGCTCTGTTTTTTCATTTACAACTGAGTCCAAAATTTACCCAACTGGCCCTGATGCCAAGCCCTGACAAGGGCACGCTGCGGCTGGGCGCTGCCACAGGGTAGGAGGCTGACTCGGGCTACGCTAGGAGGAAGCAGCCTCTGTTGGCTCAGAGGCTCCGGGCTCCCTGATCTGACTTTCAAACCTACAGCCATGGCCCAGCCCAATTGACCATGGGCAGTTAGTTCGTGGACCCTCTACAATGTATGGTCCTCTGTCTCCCAGGACAGGGCGTGTGACATTGTTCAGTCCAAACTGGAAAGTCCCTGCTTTCCCTTGAACACTAGAAACTCCATCCCGGAGAGGAATGTAAATTTGAAACCGACCTTTTGATGCTGTAGGAAGGGGCAGTGAGTTTGGGAAGGAGACAGATGCCAGGCATATCTAGACGCAGAAGCTAGGAAGTGGTGAAAAAATAGAAAATTGTTCACGACAGATGAGCCAGTCCAGAGAAGGCCGGCTGCTCTCGTTAATGGGCTACACTAACACAGACCACTCTATCCGACAATGCAGCCGGGCTATGCATGAAGCAGAGGGGAACAGATGGACACCGGGGCGGCAACCATGGGCTCAGACAGACACAATTGTGAGGATGGCACGGGACCGAGCAGTTTCCTTCTGCGGTGCAGAGGGTCGTTATGGGATGGAACCAAGCTGATAGCCCCTTACAACAATAACACACAGCATCTCCCTCTTCTCCCCTCCCCACCCTCTGGCTTTGGAGACCTGTCTCCTCTCTCCTGCTTGCTCCTCGGTACGTGACCCCCCATCACACAGTCTGAATCATGGTCTTAGGCTGTAGACTACCTTCCCTTTCATGTCAGAGCCTTTGTGGGCCCACCATTGTACTCCCCGCAAGGCTGTCCCTTGGCGCACCTGCCTGAGCTCCCAAATAGCTCTGTGTCCTTCCGCTTGGATCGCTCCGTCTCCTTGCAGCTCTTCACCGGGCTAAGATCAAAGCCTGAGTGGCTGGCTCCATGAGGGAGAGACAAGGGATTCACCAGGAGTCGTGGCTTTTTTAGCAAGGCCAATAGAGCTTGGCCCCACAGAAGTGGGTTAAGGGGGTGATTGCGGCCAGCAGCAGGAGGCAGCACCCCTAGTTATTGAACTACTCTGGGGGTGAGCTACTGGATGCTGACCTGAGGCCAAGCTCAGGGTTTCTTAAAATGCAAATCTTGACCCACTGGAATGGCCCTGATGGAGCTGGAGAGCTGAGAGACCTAAGGGTCTGGGAGACAGAGAAGGGGGCCTGACTTCCTCCCTGCCCCCTGTGTGTCGGGGCTGGAGGGAGCCATGTACAGGGACACAGGGAGGAGCGGGTCATGTAAGTGCTGGAAGGCCCTGTAGGCTCTGGGAGTGAGGTTGGCACTCTGGGTGAGAATTCCTGGGGCAAGATGCGGGCTGCATAGGAGCAGGCTGGGTCCCCCAGAGGAAGTGGACCCATCCATACTCGGGCATAGGACTCAAAGGCCACCCATGCCGCCATGAGTGCTTTTCTAGCGGCTCACCTGGGGCAGAACAGAAGATGAGCCTTGATCGCGCATTTTTAAGGGAATCTCTTTTCAGCCCTTGGTAACCCAGGCCCCATCCTCTAGGATACCGGACTTCAGATTTTGTCTTCTCAAGGTGTACAGCATGCTACTTAAGCCACATTAGAAGGATCTGCGTCAGAAAACCACCAAGTCAGCATTCTCAAACTGTGGGTCGAGACCCCTTTGGGGGTTGAATGACTCTTTCACAGAGGTCGCCTAAGACCATATTTCCGATGGTCTTAAGAACCCAGAAACCGCTCCTCTATCCGTCTCCCGGTGGGTGTGTCCACCTGCAGACACGCCCACATACGGGGTCACCACAACATGAGGAACTGTGGTAGAGTCATGGCATTAGGAAGGTTGAGAACCACTGCACTAAGTGAACAGGTTTTCCCTTACATGCACCTGTTGCAGATTAAAGGAAATTATTTATTCCTTTAGACTTAAAGCTGTAATGCCCTAGTGAGAGAAGAAGGGACTGCTACCTCAAGGTCGTGTATTTGGAAGTCACTGAACTTCCTTCGACCCTCTTGCTTTTGAGATTATGTGCAGACATATGTCCTGAAAACATAGGGAGTGTAAGTGAATGTTGTGCCCTTTGTCGAACTCTCATTGTTTCTTAAGCAAGATTCCATCATTTAAAATTTTAAATATGTGTAAGTGAACATCTCATGCATTTAGCCTAAAAAGCTTTCCTATATATGAATAGCCCCCTTATCTCAATAGTAGTTTTAAATCCTATACTATTGACTAGTTTAATGATACTATATTAGAATTGAGGAGCCCTCAAACCTGGTGTAGTGGTTATGTGTTTGGCTGCAATCCACATGGTCAGCAGTTCGAAACCACCAGCAGCGCCAAGAAAGAAAGACTGGGCTTTCTCCTCCCATAAACAGTTACAGTCTCGGAAACCCACCAGGAAGTCGCTGAATCAGCATTGACTGGATGGCAGTGAATTTGGTTTGGGTTTATTAGTAGAATTACTAAAGGCCCCGTGGACATTACTTATATTATCTCTCAAAAAGCTGATCACGGTGCCACTACAGTGGAACAGGGATAGATGTAAACCTTAGCTATATGAATGGATTTTGAGCTCACACTTAACCGTAAACCCTAACCTAAGAACAATCAGTTCTTAGTATGCAGTCCCAAAGTGTGGCAAAGAGAGCAGATGGTGCCTGGCTATCAGAAAGAATCGCATCTGGAGGTCTTAAAAGCTTGTCTTAAAACAAGCAGCCATCTAAATGAAGTGTCAGCTAAGTCCACACAGAAGGAGCACACTATGTGTGATACAAGGATTGTAAATAATAAAATCCAGGGCTAGAGGAGGTAATACTATTAGAGCTTAAATTCTGAGCACCTGATTTGCAGAAGGCTATGTAGAAATGACGGTGAAAGCCCAGACCCATGTGCAGCATTCCCGTGTGGAGCCTTTCGTGAATCCTCTCCTGCCACTGTCCAGGGATATGACTAGCCTTGCCCTCAGACGAAGTGCATTGCAAAGTGGATGGATGCAGATATCGTTAGGTTAAAACTTAGCACCTTCTCGATTGCTTTCCCTTTTGACCTACTTTGAATTTGTTCCAGCTTTTGTTATTTTCTGCTTTCTTTTGGTTTTACGGTGTTTGTTGCTGTTTGTTGTTGTTGGTAGCGTTTGGCAGGGGAGGTTGGGGGTGAAATGGGGAGCTAATAATAAGGAACACAGAATGAGGGAAATGTTCTAAAATTGATTTCTGGTGATGGCTGTACAACTCTTTCTAATCGATTTAAACCATTGAATTCTATGGTATGTGAATTCTGTGTCGATAAGACTGTGTACACTTTCTTTAAAAGGAAGAAGTTGGGCCTTGCCTCTTCTGCACCCGTCTGCCCGCCCTGTGGTGGTGCCTCACCTGCCATCCTCAGGGCACAGCCCTCGATGCAGTGTGGCAGCTGGTAGCCACAGAGTTGAGGCAGCCACCTGGCAGCATCCACACCCTGGCTTTTTGCTGTATGCCTGTCTTTAGGGCTGACCAGGCTCGGGGTGGCGGGAGGAGGGGGAGGTTAAACGGAGCTTTTTCAGCCCAGGTCCTCTGTGATTCACCTCCTTGTCCTTCGTCCTCCCAGGCCTGTGCCCTGGCTCTGCCTCCAGCCAAAGCATGAATGACGTGGAGCATGCCCCAAGTCTAACGGAAAATGCCTCCGTGACCGCTGGGGACCAATGTGGCCAGGAGACGCCCCTGGAGAACGCCCTCTTTGCCACCTTCTACTTGCTCGATTTCATCCTGGCTTTTGTTGGCAACGCCCTGGCCCTGTGGCTCTTTGTGCGGGACCACAAGTCAGGCACCCCTGCCAATGTGTTCCTCATGCACCTGGCCGTGGCCGATCTCTCCTGCGTGCTGGTCCTGCCCACCCGCCTCGTCTACCACTTCTCTGGGAGTCACTGGCCATTCGGGGAGATCCCGTGCCGCCTCACTGGCTTCTTCTTCTACCTCAACATGTATGCCAGCATCTACTTCCTCACCTGCATCAGCGCAGACCGCTTCCTGGCCATCGTGTACCCTGTCCGGTCCCTCAAGTTGCGAAGGCCCCTCTACGCCCACCTGGCCTGTGCCTTCCTCTGGGTGGTAGTAGCTGTGGCCATGGCGCCGCTGCTGGTGAGCCCACAGACTGTGCAGACCAACCACACAGTTGTCTGCCTCCAGCTCTACCGGGAGAAGGCCTCCCACTATGCCCTCGTGTCCCTGGCCGTGGCCTTCACCTTCCCATTCATCACCACGGTCACCTGCTACCTGATGATCATCCGGAGCCTGCGGCAGGGCCCGCGGGTGGAGCAGCGCCTCAAGAGCAAAGCCATCCGCATGATCGCCATGGTGCTGGCCATCTTCCTGGTCTGCTTCGTGCCCTACCACGTCCACCGCTCCATCTACGTGCTGCACCTACACAGTCACCAGCCCTCCTGCGCGGCCCGGCGCATCCTGGCCCTGGGGAACCGCATCACCTCCTGCCTCACCAGTCTCAATGGCGCCCTGGACCCTGTCATGTACTTCTTTGTGGCTGAGAAGTTTCGAGACACCTTGTGCAGCTTGCTCTGCAGCAAAAGATTCCTGGGGCTGCCCCCCAGCTTTGAAGGAAAAACCAATGAGAGTTCATTGAGTGCCAAGTCAGAGCTGTGAGGGTTAGCCCTCGGGACGCTCCCTCTGGCTCAGGTCAAAGCTGTCCCAGGGGGACAACGCCCCCACAGCGGGGCTGCCCAGGCTGGAGACAGAGTATGTCTTTCTTCCTGGGCCCCCTGTAGAAACAAACCAGCATCCCATCAGGTGGCTCTCCGTTCCCAGGCCTGAGCTCACTCACAACACCGGGGTAAAGTCCTGGGCAGGCTTGAAGGAATACCTGAATCTCTACCAAGAAGGAATTGTCATGCCCGCCAGCTCCTCTGCAGGAAGGTGTGCCACTGACCCCTCGGAAGGGAAGCCAGAGGTCCAGCTGCTGACGATGAGCATGAGTCTTCCTTCCTCAAGCTGCCTGCCTGGTTCCCAGCCTCTTCCCAAGACAGAAACGCCCCTTCGCAAAGCTCTGCAGAGGGAACCCCAAAAGTTGGCTGGAAAACAACCTTTAAGAGGTGAATGGGTGGGAAGGGTGTCCACATATTTTCCTCTGAGGACAGGCTGGTCTGCGTTCCCTCTGTGGGACACTTGCTATCAGGTGACCCCTACCATAGTTTAGGGGTAGGGACCCTATATAACTCAACACTGGCTAATAATACCTTCCAACTGGTCATCAGGCCATCAGCTTATATAGACCAGGTCCTTCTCTAAGCCCGTAATCAGATCTGAAGAGGCCCCGCGTCTGGCCTGACAATCACCAATACTTCTTGGCAGGTGCCACTGCCTCCCTAACCCTGGCCAATCACACAAGTCAGTAGGCAGTGCCAGGAGCACGCTTGGTGGGTCCTTGCTTGGAAAATCCCAGGGCAGCAGAGAAGGACCTGGTAGGGACCAGTCTCCCACTAATCAGACAGGCCAGGGCATTCTTGTTCCTGCCCTCACCTGAGAGACTTCTCCTAGCCTTCATACATCATTGCACCAGCAGAGCCTTTTATAGTTGTTGCGTGATCCTAAGCACAACCCAGCTGCACGTTGAAGACTATGAAGGAGCACTGTGTTTGCTTAACATCACATCCCTTCCCAGAACGTTCCTCCCTGCAAGCCAGGAATGGCCAAGTGGGGGGCCAAGGAAGCAGAGGTGGAGGTGCACACCACTCTTGAAGTCTCTCTTCTATGTCAGCAGCGCCAACCGTATAGGACCACGCCTGCAAGGTAGGAATCCCACCTGGTTGGAAGTGCCAACCTAGGCCTGGGAGGGCATGGGTTTGAGAAAGAAGTCTTGTTAATCACACCTGCCAGCTGGCACCATGACCCCTCTTCCTTAACAGCAATTCTTTACTTCCCATAGCACTGCAGCCTCCCCAAGACCCTCCCCATACTCCAGTGGGAAGGGTGGTGTTAGGTTCACAGTGGCCCAGGAAAGGACTGGGCTCACCCTGGGCAGCACACTAAGCTGATGAGCCAACCTCCGGGGTTGGTCTGCAGCCTTTCACCCAGCCAGCTAACCCTTGGGCATGGTGGCGGGCCAGCATGGCACCAGGAGCTGTTAGGCCATGCGAGTCCAAGAGCCCATCTCTTGGGCAGCGGACCATCACAGACAGCACAACAGAGAACACGAGTGGAAGAAGAGCCCAGATTGAAGAGCTGCCTGAGGAAGCAGACATGAGTGGGGCCAAAGACCCGGAGAGAGCTGGCACTGTAAGGAGGTTAGGCAGGTCTCCCGCTGCTACGGGGATTGCTGGAGAAGCAGTTCCAACTGGCAGGGCAGGACTCAGGAGCTCCCCGGGGGGGCCCCCGCTACACGGGACGTGCATGAGTCTGCAACTGGAAAGTCTCACCCCAAAGTGGAAGTGAAACCCCTGAAGTTGTCCAGGACTCTGAAGATTCAAGGCCTCTGTCCTCGAAGGCAGAGATAAGAACAAAGTCCCAAAGAACTCTACGGCTTAAAGTTGGGGGGGCGGGGGGGAGCCAAGGAGGCTGAAACAGGAGCCCGGGCAGGAGTAACCCTAAGGCCAGAGAAGCATTCACAGAAGAGACGACGGGGAGGTGAGCTGTGGCAAACTCAGCAGGCCAGGGACCACGCGGCTGGCACTGCCGCAGACGGGCAGGAAGGGCGCAGGGGAGGAGGCAGCCGATGTGCTGTGGGCACTGTAAGCAGCCGGCGGAGCTCAGAGGGAAGCAGGCTCAGGACTAAACCATAGAAGTCCCAGGCCTGACCCTCTGGAAAGGGGAAGAAACATGAGCAGCATGAGGAGGCATGAGAGGTGAACTGGCGCCTTAAGAGGAGAGGTTGTTTGGTTTTTGTTTGTTTGTTTTTTTGGGGGGGGGTTGTGCAGCCGCATCTCTGTCCTTTAAGGAAGTGGGAGAAGAGGCCATTCCCTCAAGACAAGGACTGGGAGGGTAGAGGGCAGTGGTGGGCGAGGGGTCTTCTCAGAAGGAGGAAATGGACCTGCTAAGGATCTCTAAGGAGGAGCCCCCGGAGGTGTAGTGGTTATGTTTGGGGCTGCTATCCGCATGGCCGGCAGTTCCAAACCATCAGCAGCTCCTCCAGAGAAAACCTGGGCTTTCTGCTCCCGGGAACAGTTAGTCGGAAACCCACCAGGGGGTCGCCATGAGTCAGCCTGACGTGGCGGCAGTGAGTTTGGCTTTGGGGGTTAGGGCTCTTTAAAAGAGCCCTGGGGGTAAAGCCCTCGGGCACTCACCCACCAGCTGCTCCACCCAAGACAGATTGGGGGCGTCTGCTTCCAGGAAGGCTCACGGCCTTGGAAACCTAGGAGACAGCTCTGTTCTGCCCACGGGGTCCCTGGCAGCGGGTTTCCTCTGCTGCTGCGGAAGGAGAGGTCACACTGAATGCAGTGTGCAGGCCTGAGTGGAGAGGGAATTCGGGCAGCCCTCTTGGTGGGTTTCTCTCCAGCAGTGTTCAGGCGTGTAGGCCTAGGGCCGGCACTGTGGACAACGCGGTCAGCAGGGGACATGGCCAGCAAGGATTGCTGCAGCTCCCGTCCTTCATCCCGTCCACTGCCTCTAACCCCTTCCTGTCACTGCCACTTTCACTTTCCTTCCTCTATCACCTGTCAGCCTGCCTCCCGGGCATAGCCATGACCCTGGGGAGACCTGGACGCTTGGCCCCCATTCTCCCTGGTCTCAGGCCACACCCGAGATGGGGACTGTCTCATCCCCGTGCTTAGTGGGCACCAAGAGGCGGCTGTTACCCACCCCCTCCTGTGCCCAGCACCTCCCACCCCGCCTCACCTGTCCGCATTCTTCACGAAGCCCAGGTCCGCCAGCTCCGTGTCACACAGCTCACAGCGGAAGCACCCAGGGTGCCAGCTGTTGTTCATGGCCTTGATGACGCGGCCAATGATGAACTCACCTGAGGGAAGAGCGGCCCCTCTTTACCCGTCCACACCAGCCCCAGCCTGGCTTGTCAGCGCCCGTCCCAGAGCATCGAGAGCTCCTGCCCAAGGGCTCTGCCAGGCCCTCGGACTGATGTTCAGGAAGATGCAGGAAGGGGTCTGCCCACCATCCCCTCCCCCACAGCCCGCCCCCGCCCCCCCCCCCCAATCCCCAGAGAAGGTTGATTACCACAGGATCCGCAGCACGGGGCGAACAGCATCTGGAAGTCGTGTTCACAGTACTTCCGGCCTTCAAACTGCAAATGGAGCCAGAAGAGAAGCATCATGCAAACCACCCGTGCCCGCACGAGCTGCGCTGGCGGATCCTTGGTTGGTCAAAGCTGGACAGACACGGCTGTCACACCAGTGTAGTCACCGTAGGAAACGGGTGCGAGAGCCTCCAGGGGAGGGCAGCAAGGAGAGAGCCGGCAGTGAGGGCTGGGAGCACAGATTGGACACTCAGTGGACTAGCGGGAGCACAGAGGAAAGTGGACAACCAAAGGCCCCGTTTCAGACCCCAGTGGGTGTCCCTGTTGGTCCTGCGTGCAGACCGGGTGGTGTCTTCCGCTGGTGGGATGAGGTCACCTTTGAGTCCTCTGAGCTGCTGTGGTCCACTTCCTAAGTGCCTTCTCTTAGGAGCCCAGCTCCCCAGAGACCACCAAACACCACAGGTTTAGAGCCTGAAGGAAGGAAATGCAGGAAGGGGACCCAAGAGAAACCCCTTGTGATAGGTAGGTTTACTGTGCCAACAGGGTCAATAAGACCATGTGGGATTAATGAGGTCAGTTTGATTGGAGGGCAAAGAGACAAATGGTTCGGTGAGTCCCACCTCTCTCTCTTACTCTCTGGTGATCGGACCAGCGTGCGGCTGCCTTGGCTGGTTCTCAGCCTCAACTTGTGAGCTACACTACCTGTGGGACAACCAACCCATGGACTGTGTCACTAGGGGTTGAGGTTCCTTTGAGACCTGCTTCACCACACTGCCAGTGTATACATTGCTCGAGCTGGGATCCTGTCATCTGGCTGACTGTTGGTGACCTGGCCAGCTGTTTGCTGCCTGTGGTCGGACTGCCTGCATTGCTCTCTGGAAGACTCAGCTGTCTGCTTCCTTGACCTTGGACTTGGCAGCCCTGTGAGTTGAAGAACTTCCAGTATATTAACTGTTCCACAGAAATGACAGTTGAGCTGAGTCTTCTCTACTGTTGTGTGGACTAATTAGCTGTTACATTCCTTCATGCTATCTATAGCTATCCATATATATGTTCATATTCATAAGTGTCCTGGTTTAGTTTTTCTAGAGAAGCCTAACACACCCCTTCAGCCAGAGGGAGCTGTGTGAATACCAGTCAGGCACCACTGTCCCCACCAAGGCCAGGAAGGTCCTTGCCCTGACCCCAAATATGACCACGCTTGGGTTTTCCCTGTTTCTTAGAATGTTGTGTCAGGCTCCAAATAGATACGACCCTTCCCATTGACCTACAGAGCCATCAGAGTAATGAGTACTTCTTAAGCACCTACTGTGTCGCTGAGCTTATTCTAGATACATGCCCACCTTCCCACTGACCTGACCATTGGCCAGAATGTCCCAGAAGGCAAGAAAGGGAAATGGCTGTTCAGCTCTGCCAACCCACAGCCACCTATCAGCCATCCCCGTCACCTTCCTTCTAAAGACATCCGGCCTCTGGCCACTCCGATCGCCTCCACTAGAACTATCGGCGGCGTCAATAAATATGGAACATCTCTGGGAAAGAAAAGCCCTGGTCTGCGGTGTTTGCCAATCTCTGTGGTATAAATGGCCCACCATGGCCAGTTTCAAACTACCAGCATGCTGGTCACCCAGTGTGGGATGGAGAAGAGTTGTGCTGTAAGCAGGGCTTCCTCACCCAAGTCCAGTAGGCATACATAGAAAGAGGCAAGTCGTGAGTACGCCTTCCCTCTGTGGGTGGATTTTTTTAAATGACATTCCACTTTCCAGTTACCTCTCCCCAGTCCCCTCATAACCACAAATCTTTTGCCCCTGTACATTTCCTGCCATGTTTGATAGCTACGGAATCATCTACAGGTTCAACCTTTTACGTCTGTCTTATTTCACTTAACAATCTTCCTTTGAAAGCTCAAGAATATTCCATTGTATGTTGTTATGGATCCCCACGGCAACATGTGTGTTGAGATCCTAACCCTTGGACCTGTAAGCAGGACCCTGGAAATCAGGGGTGGCGTGGAAGGTGTCTTGTGTTTTGTTGACTAGGCCATGCCCGTGGAAGGGTATGTCCGGCACCAAATCACTCCTGAGTTATAAGCAGCGAACCAGGGGAGAGACACGAAGAAGGAGGACAACAAGCGCCAAGACGAGCATGCCAAGGAAGAGGAAGGAACGCCGCCAACTCCCGGGAAAGAAGGCCCCCCGGATTTGGACTTTGAGATCCCCGAAGTGTCAAGAGAATAAACTGCTGTTCTTTAAACCCCCGTGGGAGGTCTCTTGTGTTAAGGCAGCACCGGGTACCTGAGCAAGAGGCAGGTACCACATTTTGTTTCTCCCGTCAGCTGCTGATGGCCACTCAGGTTGCTCCCACTCCTCGCGGTTAGCATTGTCCCTCATGCTGCAGTGAACATGAACACACACTTGTCCACTTAGTTAACTTCTTAAAGAACCGCCGGATTGTTTTCCACGGCGGCAACGCCATTTTGCATGCCCTCTCGCACACACGAGGGCTCTGACGGCTCCACCGTCTGGGGAGGCTTTTCCTTTTTGTGAGAAATAATGACCATGAGAGTGCGTGGGAAGTGGCATCTTACTGCAGTGTCGATTGGCATCTCCCAAACGGCTAATTTGTTCTTAATAGAATTTATGTAAGTTTATGGAATTTAATATTTTCCCATTTTTTTTATTTGGCTGTTGTTGAGAAGATACACAGCAAAACAGACACTTAAGTTAATAGCTTCTACTGGATGATACAAGGGCATGCATTACATTCTTAGAGTGGCTCGCCCTTTCTCATTCCCCTTTTCTGAGTTTCCTGCTGCATTAACCACCACTCCACCGGGGTTGACACACATAGTACCCTTTATATTAAAAAAAAGTTCACTGCCACTGAGTCAATTCTGACTCATGGGGACCCTCAAGGGCAGAGTAGAACTGCCCCTGTGGGTTTCCGACACTGTAACTCTTTCCGGGAGTAGAAAGCCTCATCTTCTCCCACAGACCAACTGGTGGTTGCAAACAGCTGAGCTGGTGGTTCGAAGCCCAACGTGTAACCAGTACACTACCAGTGCTCCTGCTCGAGCAGACCTTGGCTGTGGGGCCCTCCCTCGTCCCCAACAGCCCCACCCTGACAGTCCTTATTGCAAAAGCCCTCGGCACCATCTGATACATATTTATTGCATTTACTATCAGATGCCCTGGAAGGGTAAGTGCCCCAAGGGCCGGGTCTCCCCACCCCTGGGTGCCCTTGAGAAGGCTGGATGAGTGGATGGTGCTCCTTCGGTACCATGACAACCACAAGAGTAGGTTCAGCACTGGCCGGAGGTAAAGCTGGGCGTAAGGCCTGCTGTGGCAGCCCTGCGCCAGGATGGCACGGGGCAACTCTTCCTGGACTCCGAAGCTGAGTCTGCTGCTCAGACGCTCCGCAGTGTGGCCCCAGCCCCGTCTGCCCCAGGCATCCTCACCTCATAGAAGAGCCCCTCGGGGAACTGCCGGAAGCACTGGGCGCACACGAAGCAATGCTCGTGGAAGAGCTCCCCGTTGCTGTTGACGATCCTCTCGGAAGGGGCAAAGTGGGCCCGGCAGCGCTGGCATACGGCATTGGCCAAAGCTGTGGACATATTGCTGGGATGGGATGGGGGATGAGAGGAGGGGCCAGGTCAGGACCGAGGGGTGGAAAAGCTGCTACAGCTGGTCAGGTCAGGGCACAGGTCCCCCCCTCCTTAAAAAGCTGAGGTCCTTCCAGGATTAGGAAGGTCACTTTCACCACCCAAGGATAGCCTTGGCATTGGATCGGGGCAGGGGTGGAGGTGGTGGTGTTTGCTCAACACACAGCTTCACTCTCCCACAGCTGTCACGTGCACAGGACATGCTAACTGATGGTGACGCTGCCACGAGCCAAGGGCCAGAATACTGGTGAACAGCCAGGTACCAAGTACAGAGCAGAGCCTCCTGTCTTCAGGTGAACAGCAGCCCCGTCTGAGGATGTCATTAATGGAAAGAGGGGCTCCTTCAGCAGGAGGAACCCAGGAAGGGGGGTGGGAAGAACGGGTCTGACTTATCAGAAGCTGCGCGGAAACACCCAGGCAGGATGTCGTCTCTTCACTGCTTTGGGGCCACCCGCCTCGCTCGGCCTGCTCTCGGTGTGCTCTGGAGAGCCAAGCCGCATCCCGTGTCCATCCACACTGAGGTCTGGACTGCGGTGTGGCCGTAGGAGTTGGGGAGAACCCAGGATGACAGGGAAGTTCATCACCATCTCCTGGCCCTGCATGGCCAGCGGGTCTCACGAGGCAAGCAGAGGACCTGGCAGGCTCAGGAGTTAACTCGCCCGGGCTGCGGCCGCAGGGGCTGGCCTGGACCACCCGTGGCCCAGCACACTCCCTCTCCTGAGAGCACTGCAGACTTCCCCCTCCAGCAGTGTGCGCCCTCAGCAGCAGGGAGGAGACCCCATGGTCTGACGGGGACTAAGACCCTGAATGGCTGGGCTAGGGCTTTGAGTGTCAGAAATCAACAGGAAAGCCTAACCCTGCGCTTCCTCACTCAAAAATCCAGAAAAAGAAGTTTAACAAATTAAAAACATTCAGGTTCCGCCCCCGACTTCTGGACCGTTCCTTGAACTCGGATCTCTATCCCTGAACCAAGGAAGTGCATGGCTGACCGGTACTGTGTGTGCTCCCTGTCCCCGCCTGCGCTGCCCTCCCCAGGCGGGCCCAGCCTCTGCTCCTAGACCCAGGGATGATTTCTGTGCACTGCAACCAAGCCTCTGGCCTCCCTCTTGGGCTGACCCAACTCCCGCCCCCCAACGGTTGCTGCTGGCACCTCCCTCTCCAAGGCCACAGCCCCAGATGGTCCATCATGTAACTACTGCCTGTCTGCCTCCATTGCTGGCTCAGGTGCCACACCATCCTCCCCCTTCGTAGACACACTCCTGATTGTACACAGCCTGCCCACCAGGGCCCCAGAAGACACGCCACGTCTCTGTACTGCGAATCACCTTAAAGTGGGCATCGTGGCACTGCTCCAATACAACACCTGGCCCACGAGTTGCTCTGTGTCTAGTTCCCCAAGCTGGAGCCCCTGGTGTCTCAGGTAGAGGCTTTTCTCGCCTGTCCCCTACATCTCTGCACAAGCCCTGGCACAGGCAGGAGAAGTGTGGGGCTGACAGCCCATCTGTACACGTGCCGCCCTAGTCCCCATGTTCAGGCAGCGGTATCGCCACTGGAAGCACAGAGGACACCTAGGGGACACCTCCATCTGCTGGCCTAAAACACAGAGGAATGGGTGGACGGGTGTTGGGATGAACCTGGACAGCACTCCACTGCACTACCCAGAATGCTTCCTGGGGTGGCGGGAGGCCGTGTAGCTTGGTAGGGCCAAGCGCTGCTCCTGGCCTCTTTTCTCCCCTATGAAGAGGTGCCTCCCGATGACATAAAGTATGTCCAGTGCAGGGCGCGCGCTGGATAGACGGGGCTGTGTGTTCATCGTGACTGTGCGTGCAGTTCGGGAAGTGTGCTGAATCCCTTCACCATGGCTGGTCCCGAAGAAGGCCTGCAGATTGCCTGCCCTCCTTCGAGGGCCAAGAGCGAGCCATGGTCACTTCAGGTCCTCCTTCACACATTTCGGACAAGGAGAGGGAGCACAAAGTCTGCCCAGTCATCCCCGAGGAGCAATTGCTACCCCTGCCCCCGCCGGATCACATACCACACCTTGCCAATGGCACAACCAAGAAGCCAAAGCCCAGAGCTGCTTCTACCTGCCACCGGGGACCCCAGCGGGGGGCTGGGTTTGGGCTTTCTCTAGCCCTGGTTCCAATAAGGAAACAAGAGTGCAGGGAGGGCCACTGGCATGCTGAGGGTCACCTAGGAGTGGACGCATGTCCTCTCCTGGCCCCTCAGCTCCCAGCAGCATCTCAGAAACAAGGTCTCCTTCCCAGCTCTCCACCTCACTGGAATGTAGAAAGATAGTTGTGAGGGCCCACAGGCAGGCAGCAGCTAGCCACAGGGGGTCTGTCCCCGCACCGTGTGAGCCCAGGCACCAAGGACACGTCTGCTGGGGGAAGACTAGGTCTAACAGCGTGTGCTCAGCTGCTGGGCACACCGAACTTCAGCCTTGGCTCTGACACCCACTGATGGTGTGATAGGAATCCAAGATTCTGGATCTGCTTCCTCATCTGTAAAATGAGCCGGCAACACTCGCCTCTAGAGTTCGGAAGGGCCTACAAGCAAAACCAACATTCCCAGCCCCCCAGAGCCTTCTTTGCTCCTTCAGCAAGCAAATGAGCATTGCAGAGCAGGACCCATCAAGACTGCAGGGCATGGTGCCCGGAGCATCTTCCTCCATCCCTCCCCTGGGGCTGCAGTCCAGGCTGATCCAAGGTCAGCAGAGAGGGTCAGTCGCATGCAGAGCCAGAAGTCCCAAAGCCCAGGCCCATCCCAGAAGACACGAGCACATTAAAGAATGGCCGCTGCGCATGTGATGCGGTGACGCCAGCAGAAGCATCCTGGATCCGTTGGAAACGGGTCGGCAGTGGCAGAGCTCATTCTCAAGTCCTAGGTGAACCCTTTGCTCAAGAAACATCGCTGCCTTTCCACAGGCAACCCTGTGGAAGGACATGACCTGGCGGTAGACACGACGTGTCTACATGCATGGAATGTTCCTGAAACCCAGTTCCCATGAGCATGCTCGCTTATGCTCCGTGGCTCTTTTTTTTTTTTTTTTTGTGCCACATTCTTCTGTTGCATTGAGACGGTTTACATCTCTCTCCGGCCCGTTCTACCCTGGGCATTCAGCCTGCCTTCCCGATCAGCCTCATCCGGGCACTGTACCTCCTGCCCATGTGACAGGCCCTGGTGACGAAAGGCAGACCAGGAGAGCTGACATTCAGCTCAGCCTTGCTCAGGTGAGCCAGTTGCTCTGGGCCAACCTTGTGCCCCAGTGGGTGATGCTCTGATGCCCATGACAGCCCCACCAGTGGCAGGTCCTCCCAGATGACAGCCTCCCAAGCACCCTTTCTTTCCTTTGTTCTTAACTCCAGGCATGTTGCCCGTGACTACCAACACACAGGGAGTGCCAGCAGGCCCTCAGGATGAGGGTATCCAAAGCCCTCGTGGCCCCTCTTACCCCGGAGACTGCTCCTCTCATCTCCCTCTTTGCTCCCCCTCACTACAGCCGCACCGTTCAGGCTTCCGCAGCCCCCTCCCCTGTCACATTTCTACTCGGATGTCCCCAAGCCCACGGCCAGTGTTGCTCTCTTGCTAACAGCTGCTTAGATAGGTCTACCTGGATTTCACCAGGGCACTGCATGCTCAGTATGTCCAGGAACCATTCCCAAATCCTGTCCACCCTCCCCCACCCCCAGCTTCGTTCAGGCCTCAGGTTAGCCCGTCTTCTGAAATGCCCTGGGTCAGTCAGGAACCCCCGGCCCCACACCGCAGACTTGAAGGAGACTTTAACCCCCTGGTCTACACAGCAGTGTCCCGGTGATGAGCAGGTGGGCTGTGTTCAACTCCCCCTTCTCCATTGTCTGTGGTGGGAAAGGCTCTTTGCCCACTTGGAGCCCCATCTGTAAAATGAGGACAATAATAACATCCCCGTGTGAAGGGCCGCTCCCTGATCTCTAGCATGTCCCCTTCCATGTGCCCTGTGCACGAACCCGTCGGACAGATAGCATGCCCTCCAACTAGATGCAGTCGCACGGCCCCCACCTGGCTGGCCTGGCTCTGACCACGCACCGGTGACTGGTGGGCCCTCCATCAGAGGCCACCTTCAGAAGGGTAGAGAGTGACTTCCTCTGGAAAGCCCTGAGGCCACTCCTTTCTAGGCAACGCCTTTGCCACGCTGGCTCCTGGCGACCTACCCTGGGGCGGCTTCGGGTGGCAGGGTGTTGTGCCGGTTCTGGCGTCGGCGGTACAGCCCGGAGGAGCCGAGCGTGAGGAGCCGGGCTGACATGAGGTCTCTCTCTTTGGCTCCAGCTCCTTCCCTCAGGGCAGCCACAGGGGGACTTCCTGGGGCTTTGGACCACCGTTGGCAGCAGGGTAAAAGTGGACGGGCATGCAGGGTAGGGCAGTGCCGTGACTGTCGCCAGCGCTGTGCCAGCCCCTGCGTGGCAGGTCCTGCGGGCGACCCACAGCTTACCCTCTTGGTTGGAGCTCATGTTACACACGTGGGTGGGCAAAGGGCAATGAACAGAAAAGATATTGTTCTGGGATGCGTGTGGGCAGCACAGCAAAAGCAGAGACTCTCGGGATTGGGTTCAGGCTGGGTATGGACTGGGACAGGGCCTGGGACACAGACTGAGTCTGAGCCATAAAAGGGCATGTCCTGTTGCCACATGCAGGGACCCGCATGAAGCGCCCGGCCATCACGACAGCCAGCTGCAGAAAGCAGTATTCAGCCAGTGCAGGAAGGCTGAAAGCAAGAGGCTGAAGAGGGCGCTCCAGATGTGTCCGCAGGCCACCTGAGAACCTACCTGTCCCTGCGTTTGCTTTCTTATAAGACCCAGACCTAGGCAGCCCTATCCCTAGCCAACAACTAGCCAACCACCCTAAAAGAGACCCGCTTGCCAAAACTTAGAGAAGAGTAAGTCCCCCAGGTTTTCATGGAGAACAGGCACAACAAGGCCCCAG